ACATCTCCCACTGTCCCCGAGTTGGCAGGTACATGGCGCTCCAGACACAACCTGAGTCAGAGACGGCAGCAGGCTCTCTAGAGGGGCCGTGGGTGTTAGGGGGCCACGGAGGAAGCAAGAGGGGTGCAGAGCTGCAGCCGACGCTGGCAGAGAGGATGGGGTGGGAAGCGGGGAGCAAAACTGGGGGAGGGGGAGCTGAGGACTGGAGGAGGGGGAGCGTGTTCAACAGAGCAAACACGGAGCCTCCGGCTTCGGCTCCAGGAGAACCTTTGGGCTGGGGTGACGGGGCCTCGGGCCTCCTCCTCTGCCCCCGTTTCTCCTTCCTCTGGGGCGTCCTCCTGCCCTCCGGCCACTGAGGTCACTCGGCCCCGCAGAGCGTGTCCTTTTGGGCAGCGGCTCACGTGGGGACCAGAACCCCTTCCCGGGGCCCCTGGCACCGGAGGCCAGCTGGACCACAGAGGCTTTGGTAAACAATCGCTGAATGAAAGCACTCAGAGAGCAGAAGGGGATTAGCGTGTGACGTTCTCAGGCCCAGAGAGCCCAGCCCGAGCGGCTGGGTCTCAGAAGCCGCCCCTGCTCAGCCTTGGTGACCTCTGAGCTGGCCTGGCTCCTTCCTGACACACCCTCCCTCTGTCACTTCCTTCTGCCCTCTGGGGAGCCCGTCGAAGCCCAGCACAAAGAGGGGTGTCCTTCCACTTCCGTTTTGGGCAGGACAGTCCCGATTTTTAACAATCTGTCCCGCATCCCGGGACAAATTGTTAAAAATCAATCGGAACTTTTTTTTTTAAATACATTTTTATTGATTTTTTCATAGAGAGGATTAGAGAGGGATAGAGAGAAACATGGATGAGAGAGAATCATTCATCAGCTGCCTCTTGCACACCCCCCACTGGGGATGTGCCCGCAACCAATGTACATGCCCTTGACCAGAATCGAACCCGGGACCTTTCAGTCCACAGGCCGACGCTATATCCACTGAGCCAAACCAGTTTTGGCTCAATCGGGACTTTTTTAAAACGCCTCAGGATGCAGGACAAATTGTCAAAAATCGGAACATCTGGTCACCTTACCCTAACTCCCAGGAAACGACATGGCCCCTCAAAAGCCCACCTCGTCATTCCCTTTGGTCCCCGCTCTCCGGCGGATGCCACCTTGAGGATGAATCCCCGGGTGCAGGGGCCTGGCTCTCCTTTGCTGGGTGCAGAGATCCCTGTTTCCGACAATTCAGGCAGAATCAGAACCATGCCTGCAACCCCGCAGGGTCCTCCCTGGTCCGGGGCCTCAGGAGAGCTCGGATCCGTGCTTAACCAGCTGTGTGGGCTCCGGGCAAACACAAAGCCAACGCTGGCAGCTTCTCTCTCAAGAGCCCAGAGGCTGGCCCTCTGCTCCCCAAGGCCCGGTTCGCCCTGCTCCCCGCTTGGCTGTGGACTAAGCCCAGAGCACCGGCCGCGCTGGCTGTGCGTGCACCTGTGCCCACCGACCCCGGGTCCCCCCACCGACGAGAGGGCGGCCGGCGCTCCGCCCTGCCAACCACCCCGCCCGCCACAGGCCCCCTTCCGCATCGGACTTCCAAGGCTGTGTTGTCGCAGGTAATTAAAGGGTTTTAATTAAATTAGGATCCCATCTGGCTGGGATCAGTCAGGCCCTTAACGAGGATTGTGTGTCAGCAACATCAGAATGTGGATGGGGACGCAGACGTGTGGGGGCTGAAGGTGGAGGGGGGTGGCTGGAAGCCTTTCAGACGGGGGGGAAGGATCCCTCCGAGCCCCTGGGCGGCTCCCTGCCAGGCAGCAGCCAGTGGTTCCGCCTCCCAGAATGGAGGCCGCATGCCCTGATGGCGAGGAGAGGGCTGAGACCAGCGCTTCCCCTTGTTTGTTCTTGTCCGTGAGTCTACAAAACCGCTGAGATGTGAGCATGGACGATCTCAGTTCTACAAGTGAGGAAACGGGGTGCTCAGACACACACATCCAATCAGGTGGAGCGAGACTTCCGTGCTAGATGGAGATAAGATAGAAACTTGGTAGAAGGAGTAAGACAGAAATTTGCATTTTCTATAGCCAAAGAGGCTGGAGGTGGGCAGCCGAGGGCTGGCACGATGTTTCTATCCTGCCACGTCTTCAGGGAACAAGGCGTGGCCAGTCATTCCTAGGCTCTGGTTTCTGTCCTCGTGGCCCAAGACGGCAGCCGAAGCTCCAGCCCTCACACACGTGTTCCAGGCCGAGGGAGGGAAGCTGGAACAGAGAAGGTGGAAGTTGCCAACTAACTTGGCGATGTTTCTGCTCATGGCTTAGTCCCATGGCTGCATCTTGGTGCAAGGGAGGCAGAGAGACGTGTTTATTTCAGGCAGCACGTGCCCAGCTGAAAACGGAGGCTCTCGTTCCCATGGAGAAAGGGGGAGTGGAGATGAGGAAACGGTGAGCGGTCTCTGCCACACGCACAGGGAGCAGAACCAGGTCTGCCACCTCTGGCCCGAGCCCTCTCCCCTCCGCGCCCGGAGCAAGGGTGCCCTCCACTCACCTCCCCAGACAAAGAGGAGGAAGCAGCATTTGTGAAGCGGCTCATGGAATCTTCCCGGCAATGCTGCCAGGGAGGTCGGAGCTAGCTTTTCACGGGGGACAGGGGTCTGGGAGGTTCTATCCTTTGTCCAAGTCCCCCCCCCCCCCCCGATATAAACTCCAGACCCAGGGTGGGACCCCGATAGATCTTCCCACAGCACGCAGGCTGCCAGCTCCCGGGAACTGCCAGCTTGTCCCTGGGGCCATCCGGCAGGGTGGCCCCGAGACCCTGAGCTGGGAGACTCGGCCAGGTGCCCTCCGCTTGGATTGCTATGAGGTCAGCCTTTGACCTTGGCAGGCCAGCAGGAAGCAGGGTCCCCCCCTGCTGAGCGCCCGGTCTCCTCTGGCCTCTGGGCCTCTGCGGAGAGCGGCTACAGCGTTTGGACAGGTACGAGGCTCAGACTAATGAGAGGGCACGGTCCTCTCGTAACAAAGCCACACGCGCAGGTCCCAGCGTGGAGGGCAGAGCCCTCCCAGCACAAGGACAGCCAAAGGTTATCGCTGCGAGCTTGACCTGATGGTCCGAACCTGTGGGCCCAGGTGGCCGGGTGAGGTGGGCTGCGGGAGGTGCAGCAAGTGCTGCCAAAACAAAGCTTGATAGAGTTCGGGTGCATGTAATTGAGGAGATTCAAAACCGGCGAGAACGTCTTGTCCGCGCCCTTACTTTGCCTCGAGGAATCTGGCTATAAAACAAAGACTCGGCCTGCAGGCTGTGGCGCTGTCTCTCCATCAGAGAGCGGCGTCCCACCTCGCCCCAGCTTTATTCTCTTGTCTGTCTTCTTTAATCCTTCCCTGCCCCCCTCGGGTCCCCCTCCCCCCTGACGGTGCTGAGCACAGCACATGCCTCAGTGACAGGGCGGCAGCTTCACAAGCGTGTCAAACACGCGTCCTGCAGGCCACAGGCCTTATTTATAATATTTGGCCCTTGTTAGCTTCTGAGTTTGACTCTGGGACGCTGGCAGGTGCCGCCCTCACCTGATCTTGCCTCTGCCCCGTGGGCTGGCGGTGCCTTCCTCGCCCATCCCAGCCCCCGGTTCTCCCCCCAGTACCATAGACGCGGAGTCTTAAGAAGTCTCTCTCTCCCACTCCCAGCCATGGCGTTGGATCCCTTTCCAACACAGAGCAACTGGTTCTGTGTCCCCCTGCACCTACTCTGTTTCCTCAAAAATAAGACAGTGTCTTATATTAATATTTTTCTCCCAACATTGCGCTAGGTCTTATTTTCGGAGGATGTCTTATTTTCGGGGAAACACGGTATCACTGGATAATCCAGGCCCCTGGTTACCCACGACCTTCGGCTGCCTCTACCTCCCCACCCCCTTCCACCCACCCGCCCCCTTCTCTGAGCTTCCCTACCCCCCACTGCCTCGTGCACCTCTGAGCAATGGGCCTTGCCAAAGGAGTGCCCAGGCAAGGTCACCGGCATTCCTGCCAAGGAGGGGGCGGGGGGGGGGTAGTGGTGGTGGTGTGTGTGACTCAGTTCCCGCTTGCTCATCCCTGGAAAGGAGGAAGGGGGGGAGGGAAGGGCGAGGGAGGAGGGCCTCGGGCGCCCGTTCGCCTTTGCCTGCAGCTTCTCAGGAGGAAGACGGCTTGCTGCTGGGTGACCGGATGCGGATTCCCTCCAATTAGCTGCATGGACTGCTGGGGAGACTCACCCCGTTAGAGATCGGAATGCTGAGGCCCCAGCAGCGCCGGTGCCAAGTCTGAAGGGCAGAGACGCTCCCCAGGTGCCCGGCGCCCGGAAAAGAACTGGCACACTGCAGCTCCTGCCCGCAGGGGCGCTCCATTCTGAGGAGGACAGCACGGCCCCCCCGCCCCTGGGGCTCCCCGGTCTGATGCCCAGATACCAAGCCATGACCTCAAAGCGCCCCACCTGGTGGGCTGTCCTAGGATGGGGAGGCGAGGACCTGGCATGTTCCTTCACCAGAAGGTCATGGGACTGAGAAGATAGAACGTCCTGGGGCAGTGCCCCCCCCCCCCGTCCCCCTAGTCTGAGCAGTGGAGGGCAGGGCCAGGACCAGCAGCCTGGTCCCTGCAGGGCAGTGGTGGGGGAGGATGCAGGGTGGGGGCGAGGGCAGGGCCCAGAGCTTCTCCTGGGAGAGGAGCCGAGCTCCCTCCTGAGGAGCATGCTCCCCTGTGTGTGCTTGACCTGCTTGACCTGAAAGGGGTCCCTCTCAGGGCCTGGGGACCATCCCCCGGGGGGACGCCTGGGCGGTGCTCACGCAGGGGGCAGAGGTTGGTGCCTTCGCCGCCAGAGGCAGTGGGACGGACCCTCCCCCTGGTGAGGACCAGCGGGCTGCAGAGTGTGGTGATAGAGGGAGAGGAGTGAGGCCCAGCGGCTGGTTCCCAAAGAATTCCTTTTCTGGAGGAATTCTGTCAGCGAGCGCCCGGTGACGGGGAGAGGAGGGCGAGGCGGCGAGCGTGCATGCTGGAGAGATGGAGTTATTAACACGAACCCACCCCCTGCGCGGGCAGATGTGTGCCAGGCAGGCCGGCCCTCCAGCTGTCGGCAGCATCTGGCTCTCCACGGGAGGAAGGAGCCGGGGGCTGGGGTCAGCGTGCCCCGGTCCTGCTGTAGGTCAGCCAGGCCCCGCGGAGGAGGGCCGGGACCACCACCTGCTGCTGCCCGCTCTGCCCTCAGCACCCACAGGGCCATGGGCAGGGTGCTGGCTGGTGTCCGGAGGGTGGGCACCTGCAGGTGAGACAGCAGCCCTGAGTCCCCCGCGGCAGGCCCGGGCCCTGGGCCTCCCTGAACACTGAGTGCTGTCCCCCGGGGCAGTGGGGTGTCTCGGGCTCTGCCCAGGGAACACGGTGCAGGGCAAGAGGCTGGGAGAGGGGCATGAGCTTGTCACGTGCCCCGTCCAGCTCTGCTTGCACTACGAGGGCACTGGTCCCTGCTGGGCAGGGAGACGGGCTGGGGTGGCCAGGCCATCTGCCCCGCATGCCAGGACTCTTCCAACCGGGGCTGCACGGCCAAAGGGACCTGAAAGAGCAGAGCTGAATGACCAGAGAGGACACTGCCATCTTGGAAGCGAGGGCCCAGCCTTCCCCCTCACCAAGCCCCGAGGGCCCAGCCACCTCCCAGATGGGGTCTCCTGTGGATGGCAGCAGGGGCATGGCTGCTTCCAGGTCCCCATGTGCCCTGATCCACCCTGGCCTGTTCCTTCACCAGCAGGCCCAGGTTCTCTGAAAGGCCCCTTCCCGGAGCAGCAGGGGGAGGCACAGCTGGGAGAGGGCTCAGAGGCGTCGCCGTGTCCCGGGAGCCGAGCGGGAAGGACCCCGAGGTCCTCCGAGCGTGGCGTCTCCCTGGCCACGGTCAGAAGGGCCCATTCTCGGGCCCCACCCAAACCCCCGTGGGACTGAAGCCCAGAAATCTGTTTAACCAGCCGCCTGGGTGGTCCAGAGGCCCCTCCGATTCCGAGAACCTCTGGGCTGGGCCCGCGTCTCGTTTTAGAGAAAAGAAACGGGAGCGTGGACTTGCCCGAGGCCACAGAGCCAAGTTCTGCCGGCTCTGGCCCCCCACGGGGCCAGCCAGAGGGCCACCCCGCAGGTGACAGAGAGCACCTCCGATGGCCCATCCGCCCCCCAGTTCCCCGGCCCCCCCCCGGCCCCCCAGCTGCGTTTGCAGATGCCACCCCATCAGCTCCGGCCGCTGACCAGCCCGGCAGCGCTGGCTCCAGCGAAGGGCCCACCACCCTCTGAGGAGCGCGGCTGGCCCCGGGCTCCTCCCTGACCAGGATGCAGTGCCGGGAAAGCTTTATTCCTGCTCCACGAACACGACTCTGCACACGGAAGCTGACAATCAGGCGGTTTCACAAGGACCCCCCCACTCCCGCCCCCCACAGACAGACACCACGGAACACGCCCGGCACCCCCTCCGCCGTCCGGCCCCTCAGCCCCCCAGCCCCCCTGCCCAGGGGAGGCAGCAGCCCATCGAGCCCGGGGTGCCGGGCTGGACTCTGGGAGGCTGGCTCCCGGACAGGTGCTCCCAGACAGAGGAGCCGCAGGGGGTGAGGGGAGGAGGGCTCCCGCCTATGGCCTGGGTGTGGGAGGGCCACGCTCGCCCTCCGTCTCAGCTGGAGGAAGGATGGCGTGTGGGCACGAGGAGGGTGAAGAGCAAGGGCGGGAGCGGGGTGTGGGAAAGGGGAGGCCTGGCTGGAGGCAGAGGATCTGTTTGTCACCACGTCTGAGACTCCAAAGCCACCGCTCCAGCCTCCAGCCAAGCTCGGTCCATGGTCCGGGACGAGGGGCTCTGGGCTGCCCACGGAGAGGGCCTGGGGCGTTCCTCCCGCCCCCGCCCCCGGGGACTGGATCCCAGGAGGCCCCCCATCAGCCAGCCTTCATCCCCTCCTGGGCGCCCACGCTGACCGAGTGCCCCTCTGCTTGTTGCTGTCCCATCTCCGCGTGGCGGGGAGCCAGCCACGGTTTGAGGCTCATCTCCGAGACTTGACGGGGGCCTCACCGGTCTGCCGCCCCCAGGGGCCTGCTGGGCACAGCATCCGCCTGTCGCTCAGCGGGGACCCCCGTGCGGCTGCGAGGGGGCCCTCTCCGCCTCCAGGGCTCCGGGGTCCTAGGGGCTCTCCCTCCTCAACCGCAGGTTAGAGGCCAGCAGGCAGGGACCCCTCCCCGAACACGTGGGCCTCGGCCCCTGGCCCCTCTGGCCTCGCCTCCTCTCCACCCACTCCCTGCCCGAGGCCCCTCCCTGCCCTGCCGTGCCCAGCGTCCAGACGGCGGGCCCCGGCGCGGGCAGGCCTGTCCTTCCAGCCCCGGCCCGGCGGTGCGGCCCCCAGAGTCAGCCGGAGGGGGAGTAGGGGGTGTCGCTGTGGTGGTTGTAGTCGGGGCACACCTTCTGCACCAGCCGGTAGTCCGTGCTGTAGAAGGCGATGTAGACGCAGACCACCTTGAAGGGCTGCGCGCAGCTCCAGGTGGCCGAGCTCTGGGCGTGGTCGCGGGAGCAGGTCTTGGCGGGGTCGTGGGTGCAGAGCGAGGTCCGGCGGCCGCGCTCCACCTTCTCCCACTCCACGCGGCAGTTGAAGCTCTTGGAGGCCTTGGCCTCGATGTAGATCTGCTGCTCCTGGTGGAACTCCACGGCCTTGCCGGGCGGCACGAGGCTGATGGAGATGTTGCCCTGGCCCGTGGCGTTGTGCCGGAAGTGGACGCTGAAGGTCCCGTTGCCGTGGTCCACGATCTTGCCCGTGACCAGCAGGTTCAGGGCGACCGTCTTGATGTTGGAGTAGAAGTCGCCCCAGCCGAAGATCTTCTTCACCTTGGCCGAAGGAGGGGGGCTGTGCTTTGGGTGGCTGGGGGGCTGCCCGAGGAACCCCCAGGCCTCCCCGGGGGGAGCCAGCAGCCCCAGGAGCGTCGAGTTGGTCACGGGGCGGGCCCTCGGGGAGAGGTGGCCCCGCTTCCGAGGCACGCGGGGCCGGGGCTGGCCCTCGGGGTCATCATGCTCGGGGTCCTCGGCGCCGGGGGGGCCGTCGTCCTGGCCGCAGATGACCTGTGGGAGGAGTCGTGACGGTGTGAGGACGCGGTCCCCGGAGGACCCACAAGGTCTGTCCCATTGCTCCCACTGCCAGCATCACCTCTCTCCCCGCCTCTCCCACTGACTGGGTGCTGAGGGGCCCTGCACTGCCCACCGATGCCGGGGGCTGGATGTAGACGCTGACCGGTGTCACGTCCCTTCTCCTCCCCGCCACCTCCTCTCCCCACCTGCTTGCCTCTGTCCGTTCTGTAAAGCCTAGAAGGATGGAGGGGGAGTCTCTCCAGCCGACCACGGCTCCAGAGATGCAGGGTCCCTAACCCTAGGCGTGCCCGATCTGAGGGGGGCGGACCTCACACAGACCTGCTGGTGAGGGCAGCAGCACAGGGCCCCGGGCAGAGGAGAGAGAGGGAAATCCCCGGCTGATGGGGGAGGCACCGGCTCGGACAGCAGAGCTCCCTCCTGTGCTGGGAGAGCCCCCGCTGGACCTGCCTCTTGGGACTCCCTGGTCTGCAGGAAAAGGGACACCATCCTCTCCTGGGGCAGCCTCTACCCTCGGAGGCAGGGGGAACCCACAGACAGTGGAGTGAGAAAACGGGGCCAGGGACACTCTCAAGTCTAAATCAGCAGGCCTGGGGGAGACCTGGGGTGACTCACCCCGAGGAGGGCCACGGGCGTGGAAAGCCTAACTGCCTCCGAGGCCGCTGAGGACGGCAGGCCCGGGCCTGGCCTGCAGGGTGAGGTTGGCGTCACTATTCCCATCCCACAGATGAGGACGGCGGCGCTCAAAGGTCACATCACCAGGAGGCTGTCTCGGGGCCAGCCCTCTCACTTCACCCCACTCCCAGTCCTTTACCAGGGGTTTGACCCAAGCCCTATCCCCACCCCGAATCTCCTGTAAAACTGCCAAGGCTCCGCTGGACCAGCTCTGGCAGCCGGAGACACGGGGCGGCAGGCAGCGTCCTGGAGGAGCTGGGGGGGGGAGGGGGGGAGGCAGCAGGAGAGCCTGACCGAGCTGCTCTGCTCGGGACAGCTCTGGAGGGCATCCAGGAGACCGGGTTTCCTGAGGGCAGCCGCCTGGCGTGTCTGCTCAGCTTTGGACCAGAGCACTCAGCCCAAGTGTCTGTGACCAGTATCAGGGGCGCCGCTCACAGCTGGGGGGACCTGGGTTTGCTGGCGTCCCTGGGGATGAGGATGGGGATGCCTGAGGGCTCGGGTCTGGGGGGCTCCAGAGGGGTTTGGGGTCTTCATGGCCCTCGTCCTGGCTCTGGTCCTGCCGGTGGACGTGTGCAGTGACCCTGCCTGCCCGCCAGGCCCCAGGGGTGGGTGGGGCAGCAGGAGGGGAGGCTCGGGCGTTTGGACCAAAGGCTGCAGATCTGTGTGCGCTTGGCCCAGGGGTCTCAGGGGAACGGGTGGAGGGTGGGGAGGAGCGCCGCAGGTGGGATGGGAGCGGGCAGGGTGCCCCAACACCGTGCGTGGCCAAGGGGGCTGCTGCTCTGAGCAAAGGGGCAGGCAGCTCCAGATGTGGGGCTGAGGCTTCTCCACGGCAGGAAGGGGTGGGGCGCGGGCGGCGGGCGCTGGGTCGGAGGGAGTTAAGCCCCACGCTGGGGCCTGGGGTGGGGTTCCCGGGTGTGTGTTGGGGGGCGGGGGGTGCGAGCAGCCACGAGCGCCAGCACCGGGAGCAGCTCCGGGCGCGCCGGGGCGGGAGCGCCTGCCCAGGTCCTGTGGGGCTCGGGCTGCGCGCAGCCGGAGAGGAAAACAACAGGCGGGGAGGGCGGCGCGGGAGCGGCGGGAGCCAGGGACGCGGGGCCAAGCCCGCCTGGACCGGCTCCGGGCGCTGGGGCACCCGCAGCCCGGGCCCCTCTGGGTCCCCGAGACCAGGAGCGAGCCCGAGCCCCCTGGACCCGGCGGGTCCCCAGCTCCCAACTCACCCCCGCTCCCCCTCCGAGCGGCCCGGGCTCCGGGAAGGGGTCGGGTCACCCCGGGCGACCCGGCGACCGGCCTTTGCGCCGCTGCAGGTCGCAGCTCCCGCCACCCGCGGCCGATGGGTGGGCCGGCCGGGCCTCCGCTCCCCGCCCCTATTAACCCGTTCCGCACCTCCTCCGGCCTCGGACCCGCCCTCTCCCCCCGGCCTCCGGGCGCTCCCTGCATCCCGGGGATGCGGGGGGCAGGGAGAAAGTTTCCGGGCTCCGAAGCTTCCCGCGCTCTGCCCCCCACCGGCCCCCGAGCCCCCGCCCGCCGGCCGCCCCCCGCGGGCCGCTCACCAGATAGAGGCTGCCCTGCACGAGGAACACGAAGCAGCAGCGCGTCAGTTGCATCCTCCTCCGTGGCTCCCGCGCCCCTGTCTCTGCGCTTCTCCGCTCGGGGTCCCGGCCCGGCCTCACCCCTGCCCGCGCTCTTCAGGCGGCGCGCCGTCCCATGCTCCGGCGGCCGGCGGCCCGCGGCCCTGGCTCCCGCCCGTCGCCGGGGACCGACCCCGCCCCCTTCGGTCCAGCTGTGCCGCCGCCGCCCCCTTTCCCCCGCCCCGCCGAGCGCCGCGCGGCCCCCCCGCAGGTCCCAGCCGTGCGCCCCGAGGGGTCCCAGGCGCGCGTGGCTCTGCCGCTCCGGATCCGCGCGCCGCGGCCCCGGGGTGCCGGCGGCGCCGCTCTCCCGCCCAGATGTGCTGCTGGGGGCCCGCGCGCGCGCCCGTCCCCAGTGCCAATCCCCCGGCCCAGACGGCCCCTCCCGCCCCGTCGCGGCGCGCCCCCTGGCGGACGCCCCTGGCCGCGCCGAGCCCCGCCGCCGCCGCTCCCGGCGCTGCGGCCGCCAGACTGGAGCGCTCCGGGCGCCCCGGCGGCTCCCGCTGCCTGTCCCTCCTCCAGGCGGCGGCGGCTGCGGCTGCGGCGGCAGGTACCGAGCTCCCCCCACCCCCCCTCCCCGCCTCGTACCTCCGGCGTTAACTCCTGCCCTGCCGGCCGGGCCCGCAGCCCAGGACCCAGGACAGAGGGGGCAGGACTCGGGGGGAGGAGAGATTCTTGGTGACCCAGGGGAGGGACCCTACCTTCTCCATCCCTTAGGCACCTGCTGCTCAACCCCAGAAGACCTGGAATTTGGAAAGATAATTTTCCCCAAACCCATAACAATAACAACATACGACTTCCTTATCCCAATCTCTCCCCACAGTCCAAAGTCCACTGTCTGTCTGCAAGACTTGCTGCGGTGCCGAGGGAAGTTCTTCTGGGCGTCTAGCCTGTCCTCCTTTTGTTATAATGTCAGTTCCTTTTCTCTTCCACTTTACACAGTTATTTTGTATAACTGCTCTCCCCCCCCCCCCCAACACATTCTCATTCTCTCTCTCTCTCTCTCTCTCTCTCTCTCTCTCTCTCTCTCTCTCTCTCTCTCTCTCTCTCTCCTTTGACTAAAGCCCTGTGTGGGAATGGCCGCTAGGGGTTAAGCTGGGTTCTGGGGCTGGGGGCAGGGGGAAGCCTCCTGAGAAGCTGGGTAGAGAGGTGGGTAAGGACCCCAATGGCTGTTCCTCTATTCTTCCCTCCGTGTCTACCTGTGACCCAGGCAGTCACTAGGCTGGGGCGTGGGCCTCCTATTCCAGCGGGGCCCCTGGTTATCTCTAGTTTCTGTGAACTTCCAGGGCAAGGAGGAAGAACAGGACCCGGATACAAGATTCCCAAAGGTGGGATTCCCCCCCACCCACCCTCCACACACACACACACACACACACACACACACACACACACACACACACGAATCTTCACATATCCTCCTGGAACTTAGGGTCCCTTAATCCTTAGGAAAAGCAGAGGCCAGGTCCTGGCACCCTGTGAAGGCTGTGAGGTGAGGAAGTACCCAGCATTTGGGTGGACACTCTGCTCTGTGGCCCTAGCAGGTCTCCGGCTGCAGGCCCCCACCACCACCACCCCCCGCAGGCACCCAGCCTCCTCCCCCACCATCTGCCAGGCGGTGCGCTGAGAATGCAGATGAATCCTAACACCAGCCTGGGCCAAGGCGAGGAGGGAGACAGCTTCTGCAGAACCCAGACAGCATCACAGGGCCCCTGCCTTCCCCAGGCGGCCTGGGCAGTGCCAGGTGCAGCAGCCCTTCCCTAATGATGCCGCTGGTGGGCGTGGGAGTGTCTGGCTGAGGACCCCGAAGGCCAGGGGAGGGAGGAACAGCCAAAGCCTGTGGGCCCCCGGTCGGGCTGGGAGGAAGAAGCTCGGGCCTGAGCGTGGGCAGCTGGTGCCGGCGCTCGGCTAGGCAGAGGCAGCGCTGGGCCCGCTCCCTGCACATCTCCAGACGGCCCTGCCCCCAGGAGGGCAGTGCGGGCCAGGCAGCTCTGGATTCCGTTCCAGGCCCGGCTGTGTGACCTTGGGCAGGTGGCTCTGGTTCTCTGATGCCAGTTTCCTGATCCGTTGTTGCAAGAATGAAACGAGATGACGTGTACAGACAAAGCTCAGGCACAGTCGTGGGAGTGCAATACAGGGAAGTTCTCGCTTTTCTGCTTCCCACACATTTGCTCCGGCTGCCTCTCCTGCCAGGCTTGCCCTCACTGCCCTCTCAGCCATCCCTGGCTCTCACCTCCTCCGAGTTTCCCCCTCCGCATTCATCCATCAGCCACTAATCAAGCCTGTCCTCCATGCCAGGCACCAGGCCAGGGGCTGGGATACAGAGATGAATGGGCACCATCCCTGCTGTCAAGGATCTCACTGGCTAGTGCTGAACTGAGACATGGAAATCAATGATTATCACTCAGCGTGGTGAGTGGCATCGCAGCTCTCTGTACCAGGCATTATGTAGAGACGGGAACAGGGTGAGTCAGAGGGGGCTTCCTGGAGGAGGTGATGCCACAGTGGTGAGGAGGAACAAGCCAGGCGAGGGCTCTTCCTGGCAGGGGGCGCTGACTGGTCAAAGGTCCGGAGGCCAGAAGTGGAAGCCATGTGCTGTTACTGGCACACAGAGGGGAGAAGAGGAAGCTGGAGCAGAGGGCTGGGCCAGCTGATGGAGGGTCTTATGTGTCGGGTCAAGGGGTTAGGACTTTTATGAGGATCTTTTGAAGGATTTTAATAAGGGGCCAGGTGAGTATAGTCAGATTTGCATTTTGGAAAACTTGAGAATTCACTGGGAAGAGGAGAGACTAGAGGGGGGAACCAGTTAGGAGATAAATGCAATGGTCTGGGACCCAGACTCTGGGGTGTGAGAGAGGGGGAGCCGAAAGCATCTTTAGGAGGTAAAATAATCGGGATCTGGTTGTTGCTGAGATGAAGGAGGAAGGGAGAAAGAGTCAGGTATGATACCCTGTGGAGAGCGGCTACAGCGTTTGGACAGGTTCAAGCCTGGGACTAATGAGCGGCAAAGCCACGTGCAGGTCCCCGCACAATGACAGCCAAAGGCTATGGCTGTGAGCTTGATCTTATGGTCCGAACCTGTAGCCCCACGTGGCTGAGTGATATGGGCTGTGGGCCAAGTATGTCCCATGGTTGTCCCATGGTGGGAGAGCTGCCCATGTCACTCAGAATGTCCCCTTCTAACAAGTGCCCAGGTAGATGCTACATCACAAACCTGTAGCCCTACGTGGCTGAGTGATACGGGCAGCGGGAGGTGCAGCAAGTAAACAAAGCTTGATCAGGTGCATGTAACTGAGTAGATTCGAAACCGGCGAGAACGTTGTAAACATCTTGACCACGCCCTTACTTTGCCTCCTGGAATCAGGCTATAAAAGAAAGACTCTGCTTGTGGGCCATGACACCGTCTCTCTGATTCTTGGCAGCGTCCTTCCTAGCCCCAGCTTTATTCTCTTGTCTGTCTTTAATCCTTCACCCCCTCCCCCTCAGGTTCACCCACGGCCGTGCTGGCACGGCACAATACCCAAGTTTCTAGCTTGGGTAACAGGCAGGATGCCTACTGCGATGGGCACCCAGGGGAGGGAGGGAAGATGGGTTCTGGGGAGAGAGGGTGGCAGGGCCAGCTTTGGGCCTGTCAAGTCTGGGTGCTGCTGGCCATTCCAGGGCAGAAGGAAGTCTAGCCTTGGGTGCTGAGGATGGGGATATACAGGGTACACAAGAGGGGCAAGCAGTTTGGATGGACACTGACACTTAAGGGCTGGGCTGAGGAAGAACAGCTCCCACAGGCCCAGGGCGGGAACCGGCAGCCACGGGGAGGAGGCAGGTGCGCTGACAGGCTCTCCCCTTCGTGCACCAAGCAGAGCGGGAGTCTCTACACACAGATTCCAGGGCCCATCCCAGGGAGTCTTAGTCGGTACATGGGAGCCCAGAGCCACGTATTTTCTTAGGCCGGGTCTCATCCCCGCTGATGGCGATGGAGGTGGCCTCTGGGCTTCCTACTTTGATAAACTCTGGTGTGTGTGTGCGGGGGGAGAGGAGGGTAGGAAGGAAGGGAGGGCACTGGGGGGGGGGGCGGGCATGGGGAAAAGGGAATGAGAAGCAGCTCAAAAGAGAGTAAACCGGTTTGGCTCAGTGGATAGAGCGTCGGCCTGTGGACTGAAAGGTCCCAGGTTCGATTCCGGTCAAGGGCATGTACCCTGGTTGCAGGCACATCCCCAGTAGGAGGCGTGCAGGAAGCAGCTGATTAGTGTTTCTAACTCTCTATCCCTTTCCCTTCCTCTCTGTAAAAAAATCAATAGAATAAATTTTAAAGAAACAAACAAACAAAAAAAAAACAAAACACACAAATTGCAAAAGAGTGTAGTGGCCTGCATAGGTAGAGACAGAGCAGAAAACCGAGTTTGGCTGGGATTCCTAAGTCCCCACAGCAGCTCCCGGGGTGGGAAAACACAGCTGTGCTGGAGGTAATCCCAGGCAGGTCTGCCACTCAGGCTCACCTCTGTGTGTCCCCCGGCTCCCCCGCCACGCCCTGCAGACAGCAGACGCCCAAGGAGCAGGACTTGGTGCCCCTCGGCCCACACCCAGCCTCCCCCGTGCCCGCGTGCACCCTGGCTGTGGGCTGGCTGAGCATTTATTTGCTTAGCACGTCAGTGCCTTCACCTGCTTCAGTCTCATCCCTGGAAGAATCCTGCTTCCCTCCCCTCCCTGCCTCTCCGTCTCTGTCTCTCTCTGGTGGTGACGGTGCTGCGGAAGGAAAACAGCGCAGTAGGGGCCTAATCAGTGCTTATTGGATGAATGGAAGAGAGGGTTCCCCCGGTGATTTGAAAGGCAGAGAGTGGATGCCCTTGAGCCAGCTGGAGCAGAGCGGTCCAGGGGGAGAGGTGGCAGCAGGTCATTATCATTAATAATCTCTCATGTTTACCTGCCAATCTGCGGTTTTAAAGGGCTACCGCGGAGTGCCAGGGAGAGGGGACTGCCAGCGCCCA